CATATGAAGCCTTGATAGATATACATATATATAAAATATCTTTATATTAAATCTATTCCTCTAGGGAACCTTAACCACCTAGTTCAATAGTGTTTTATTGTAGCAGCCTGAATGGACTAAGACAGAGATCTGGCCAAACTGCAGAGTTATCTGCTTCCTGAGACGCGGACAGAGGACTGCCCTGCCCCTTCCGGGAAGGCCTCGGGCTGCAGTGCTTGGCTCCCTGGAGTCCTGGGCTCTCAGACCTGAACTCCACTCCATTGATGGAGGAAAACATCTACCAGCGTCTCCTCGGCCACCATCCTCTGTTTCCGGCCCCCTTCTCTCCCCAGTTTTACCACACATCAAACATCCCATGTGCTTGGGGCGTGTATTGTATGCCAGGCACGTGATGCTGTTGGAAGCACGAACAAAATGTTTCAAGCACTTGCTTCAAGGGGCTTCCGGTCTAAGAGAGGAAATAAATCTCTGCATAGTGGAAATCTGTAAACGGAATCTGAGTGGTACAAAATAGCTAAGTCACATAATATTGTGTTATATTCTTTGTGTGTGTGTGTGTGTGTGTGTGTGTGTGTGTGTGTGTTATATTCTAAATTGGGCTTTTTAGCCCAGTTCTGGAATTTCAGCACACAAAAGAATTTATTTTTATTATTCCTGATGAAACACATGCAAGAGCTGATCTTGCACCTCTCAGAAATTCCAGAAAAATAATAGAGGAGCAAACAGGAATAAATGCATATGGACAAAATGAATGGGAAAAGAGATGACATCAGACCAAAGATGTCAACAAAATTTTGCAAGACATAAACAGAGGGGCCAGGCCACCTGGAGAGGGAGCTGGTTTGTACTGCAGGGCCCAGGAGGGGTTTGTGAATAAGAGACTGGTAGATGTGTTCATATTCTACACAAAGAACAGTAGCCTGGAGTAGTGGCACACACCTGTAATCTCAGCACTTGGAAAGCTGAGGCGAAAGGACTGCCGTAAATCTGAGGCCAGCCAGTGAGTTCAGGACCTGCCTGAACTACCTAGTAAGATGCTGGCTCCAAAAACAAAACAAAGACTAATTCAGAATCCCAGGGCCAGGGATGTAGCTCAGCGGCACAGCACCTGCCTTGCAAGTGTGAAGTCATAAGTTCAATTCCCGGTACCAGGGGGAGAAAAAAAAAAGAATCCCAGCTCTCCTTTCCCAGTCTGCTCAGCCAAGCAACTACATCACCAACCCTACAAGAGCTTCGCTAACTGGTGAGGCTTTGGAGTCTAGATATCAGAGCATCACCAGATACCAGGCACTGTAGCAAAAATGGGAATTTTGTGAACACCGGGGTACTGAAGTGCTATTCTACCATAGCACCTTCCACACAGGGCTTTCCCTAAGTAAGAGAAAGGAGGGCTCCTCCCGGGAAAGAAATACACACAGGAGGAAAAATTACAGGTCTGACATATGCTGGGCCCCAAGGGCCGCCCCCCCAAGATGCTTATAAGAAGGGTATTTCCTGACATGCACACGGAGCTCACGTGAATATAGAGCCAAGGATCACCACAGCTTTGGGGGAATTCGCTACGTACAGAAAAAGGCCAAAATAAGTGGAGGAGAACACACTAGAATCTTTTTAGAAACAGAAACATGAAGGAGTAGAATAAAACTTAAATATGTCCTCTGAGATATGATAAAACATATTGCATGCAAGAAATTCTTCTAAAGAAAGAATAATCAGAATGAGAAGGAGTTCTGGGAAATTTTAAAATACAATTATAGACATTTTTGGAAATCAATGAAAGGACTGAGAGATATAACATGGTGGCTCAAGCCTGTAATTCCAGCACTCGAGAAGCTGAGGTAGGAGGATTGCCATGAGTTCAGGGCCAGCTTGAGCTATATAGTGAGTTCAAGGCCAGCCTGAACAATAAACCAAGACTTTGCCTCAAAAAAAATTGGTATGCAAGGCGTGGTGGCACATGCCTGTAATCCTAGCACTCAGGCGGCTGAGGCAAGAGGATCGTTGAGAGCTTGAGACCAGCCTAGGTTACAAAGTGAGCCTGAGGCCAGCCTGAACTGCATAGTGAGTCCCTGTCTCAAAAAGACAAAGAAAAAGAAATTGGTATGTCTAACAAAAGACTAAAAAGACACAAGAAGGGAAATAAAAGAAAATAATGTAAGTAGCCCAGAAGTTTCAAAGTGACAATAAGCAGACTGTGAGAAACAATTAAATACATTTTTCTAGAAGTAGTGAACATAAGTTTTCTAGCTAAAAAAGTCTATTGAATCCAAGCAAGGTGGTACATGCCTATAACTCCAGCACTAAGAGGCTGAGGCAGGACAATCATAAGATCAAATCCAGCCTGGACAACTTAGCAAGACCCTGTCTCAAAATAAAAAATTAAAAAAGGGCTAGGGATGTAGCTTAGTGTATACTGGATTTAAGCCCTAGTACCACACATACACATACACACACACACAAAAAAAAAAGAAACACAATAAATCTTAAGACATCCATACAAAGCATACACATGACATTTTTTAACACCAGAAATAACAATTTTTCCAAATATTAAATAAGCAAGACACATACCAAACATCAGGAATTAGAACAGAATCAGCTTTATTGTTAACAATACTAGCAAACTGAAAAAAAAAAATACTAGCAAACTGAAGTTGGTGCAACAATGCCTTCAAAATTCTAAGCAAACATTTTACAATGTAGACTTTTATACCCAGCCAAACTATCTACCTGTCAACCTCTCTAACATATATAAAGGGGGTCCAAGCTCTCAAAAAAATGTGGGAAGATTTACTCTATTAAAACAATAGAATAAAAAAAGAAAACAAGGCATCCAGAAAATGAGGAGAGAATACCTGGATCATCTCATGATGTTGGCATTAAGAAGATGCATGATTAGTATAGGATTCCTTATATAAAACCCTGGAAGGTGCAAACTAATTTATCATGATAGTGGCTCAGTGGTTAGGGAACTTGCAGGTAATGGAAATGCTCGATGTTTTAATTATAGTAATAGATCTAGGGGTAGATACATGTGCCTAAATCCATAAAACTGTTCATTTTAAAGATATACATTCCATTTTACTGTAAATATACTGCAATAAAGCAGTAAAAATATTTGTAGAAAAATAAGAGAATTACTGAGGGGAAGTTTGCTCAGAAGGAACTGTCCACAAAGAAGCTATAGAGATTTTTTTTTTTTGGTTTTTCTCTGGTACCGGGAACCAAACTCATGACCTTGCGCTTGCCAGGCAGGCGCTTTGCCACTGAGCTAAATCCCCAGCCCCCAGATTTATTTTTTAAAGAAAGAAACAAGGAGGAAGGGGAGAGAGAGAAAAAGAAGGGAATGCAAAGAAGAAAATACGAGTGGAGAAGGTCTAACATGTTTAAAAATCACTTCATAACGGCCATAACAGAGACCTAAGGGAATGAAATGATATTGCCAATATGCTGGAAATCAAAGTAACAGCCAAATAAAATGTCCTACCTTTTAATATCCTTTATTAATAAAAGTGAGAGAAAGACATTTTCTTGGAAGTGAAGTCTGAGAGAGTTCCAGAAGACCAGACCCTCCCACCACCGATATCCCTCCAGCACTGGAAGCTCAGAGACCAGCACAGGGCGAAGAACAAGAGGTTCAAGGAATGAGCAATGGGTTTCCCTGGCTAGAATCAAAGCTCCACGATAGAGACAGGTAGGGAGTGCACACCTGTAATCCCAGCACTCTGGGAGACTGAGGCAAGAGGATGCAAGTTCAAGCCCCACCTGGGTAATTTAGCAACTTAGGGAAAGCCTGCCTCAAAATAAAAAAAAAAAAAAGGGCCAGGTGTATCCCTGCGAAAGCCTTGGGTTCCATCCCTAGCACTGCAAAAGGTGGGGGGAGCCATGAGGGAAAGTCAGAGGATATAAGGCTGAAAAATAAGTGCACCCCGATCATAAGGATGTTGAGTGTCAGGCAGGAGCATGGAGACAAGGGAAAAGGGAACAGAGACGGAGAAGTTACAAGAGAAAGCACAGCCGTCAGAGAGCAGAGGCCACAGTGGAGGAGGCGGTAACACGGCCTAGAGTTCATCCAGATGCCAACTCCACAAATGCCCCCGGAGCTGTGTTAAGTCACAGCTGGGTGCGGCAGCACGTGTATAATCTCAGCTACTTGGGAGGCTGAGGCAGGAGGACTGCAAATTCAAGACAAGCCTGGGCAACTTAACCAGATCTTCAAAGGAAAAAGGGCTGGGGACATAGCTGAGTGATAAAGCACCCCTGCGCTGGAACCAGACTACCAAGAAAAGATGACCTTACTATGTTGACCAGGCGGATCCCTAACTCTGGGGTTCAAGTGATTCTCCTGCCTCAGCTTCTCTACCGTTGTGCTACTGTGGCTGCCTCAATGTCCCGAATCCATTCAAAGTTCTGGTCTTTCACGGCCATTTTGACTTCAGGGAAGAGTGGGAAGTTGCGTGGTGCCAGATGCAGAGCACAAGGTGGCTGAAGACACAGCGGAACGCTTTTATCGGCCAGAAACTGTCACAGATGTCTGCAATCAAGTCAGGACATTTGGGCAGCCCCAAAAAGACACTCAGGAAAAGGGACTTCTGAAAGTGCTTCAGAAAGCAGCAAGAATCAGGGGACAAGCATGTCTGCAGCTGGGGGCGTATTTTGAGGGGAATTCATAGCAATGGATGCTTTAACATTTTTTCATCTTTTTTGAAACATTTGGGCCGGGTATGTAGCTCAGCAGCACAGCAACTGCCCAGCAAGCACAAGGTCCTGAGTTTGATTCCCAGTACCAAAAAAAGAAAGAAAGAAAGAAAGAAAGAAAGAAAGAAAGAAAGAAAGAAAAGAAACGCTCACCGTATGTTTTTAGCACATCTCGTAGTTCTCTACCACCCTCTCCTTACGCCTTCCCTACCCTCATCAGCCAGGCCCTCTCTCAAGCACAACAAACTGCCACCTAAGTCACAGCTCTTGCATTGGAAAATCACTCCTTCAGGACTGGCAAAGCTGCATCCTTCCCATCATCCAGTTCAAAATCACCTCCTCAAGTAGACCTTCCCTAACTCAACCAAGGCAGAGTAACCTCCCTCCATGTGAGATGTTCCACCATCCCAGCGCTGTGTGATTTTTTACTTAATGGAAATTATCTTGTATATTAACTTGTGCGTTATTTATTGTGTACACACACACACACACACACACACACACACACACACACACACAAGAGGGTTGATTCCACAAGTACTGAAAGCATTTTCCTTGTGAGAATTGCTGAAACTCCAAGCCATATTCTTGGACTCTGTCTTTAAACTTAAAGAGAAATGGAACAAACATTTTGGGGGAATGTATACAATGTTAAGAAGAAGGAAACATAAAAGGTCTGAGGCCCAGCAGAGGTCAGACGGCATGAACTTGAACTTTGTGCCTGCCAAAGGCAAGGTACCATGAGCACCGGATGTCCATGAAGGCACAGTAGAATGGGATCCAACTGGGTCATCCAAGGAAGCTAATGGATTGGGATGGATTAATATATAGGGACCAAGGATTTAGAGTCACAAACAGTCCCACAGGCAAGAAGAATGGATGGATGGATGGATGGATGGATGGATGGATGGATAGATGGATGGAAGGAAGGGAGGATGAGGGGGTGGGTGGGAGGGTGGATGATCAACAGACAGATGGATGATGAATGCATGGATGGATGGGTGGATGGAAGGAAGGAAGGATGGGTGGATGGATGGATGGATGGATTGATGGATGGATGGATGATGGATTCATGGATGCATGGATGGATGGGTGGATGGAAGGAAGGAAAGATAGGTGGGTGGATGAATGGATGGATTGATGGATGGATGGATGATGGATTCATGGATGCATGGATGCATGGATGGATGGGTAGATGGAAGGAAGGAAGGATGGGTGGGTGGATGGATGGATGGATTCATGGATGGATGGATGGATGAGTGGATGGAAGGAAGGAAGGATGGGTGGGTGGATGCACGCATGCATGGGTACATGAATGGGTGGGTGGATGGATCACACTGCAGGTAAAATGCAGGGTTTCAAGGCTAAAGCCCTGAGCTGGAGATTCAGGAATTAAGTGCTTTGCAGGGTGGCTCCCAGAAGCTCCCAGCGCACCCTGCTGCCAAGCCTCCGCTGCCACCCGAGGCTGCCCCAGGTGAGGCGCTCACCCAGCCTCGGTGGGTGGCTGTCTCCGCAGAGGAAAGGCTCTGCCTCTCGGCGACCCTGCTGCAATTATCATCATGGCTAACGATGTCAGCGACAAGTCACCGAATGCTGAGGGAGCAGATAAGATCAGGAAAATTTAATTCTTGAGTGCTGTGAATTCTCGCTTCTTTCCTTTCGCTAAGATGTGCCCCTATCTCTGTTAACAGGGTTATCAGCACTCACGAGGGAAAGGAGGGACAGGCTATGAATGGCAAGCAAGCTCTAAATCCCAGCCAGACGCGGCGACAAAGGAATAATAACATGATTACAGGCCAAGTTTCCTCCTGCACTAGAGAGAGGCTGTCTGGATTCAGCCCGGCCGGAGAAGGGGCAAGGGCATCTGCCCGGCGTCTTCTGGGCTCTTAAGAAAAGGGGACAGGATGGAAGGGCCTCAAGCTGAGCCTGGACATAAAACTAGAGGATGCTCAGCATGCTATTCAGCTCTCCGTTACTGTCACAAACACCCAAGTAAAGCAACTTATAAAGAGGAAAGGTTTATCTTGGCTCACAGCTTTGGAGAGCTTTGCCCATGACTTGTTGGCCCTCTTGCTTTGGGCCCATGGCTGAGGACGCCTGAGAAAGAGACCTTCAAAGACCTCCCGGCAGGCCACGCCTCTTCAAGTTTTCACCACTCCCTAGTGGCCCTGGGCCACTGAGTTTTGGGGGACATTCTTAATCTGAACTATAGCACCCTGTTAAATTTGAGTCACAGATAAACATGTAACAATGTTACATGTGCCTTCATGTAACATTAGCGTAAGTACTAAAAAGTTATTCATTCATTACACGAAATTCAAAATTACCTGGGCACGCTATATCTACTCCAGCAATTCTGTGTCCAGGGTGTGCTAGAAGTGAGGGCCCTGGAACCGGACTGAGCCATTAAATGAAGGAAACTTCCTGAGTGTCTACACAGACGGGCTGCACAGGGAGTCAAAATGTTTTGGGGGCATTCTGAGTAGGAGTGACAGGGGTGATAAATGCCCTGATATTTACACTTAAAGATTAGAGAATTTAAATGCCAAATGTGGTGGCATACACTTGTAATCCCAGTACTCAGGAGGCTGAGGCAGGAGGACTGCAATGAGTTCAAGGCCAGCCTGGGCTACATAACAAAATCCTGTCCAAAGACCAGAAAGAGAAAAAAAAAAAAAAAAAGATGAAAGAATTTAAAAGCCAGGCATGGTGGTACACACACTCTGAGGCAGGAGAATCATCCTGAGTTCAAGGTCAGCGTGAGTTACATAGTGAATTCAAGGCCAGCCTGGAAGAGACAGCAAAACCCTGGCTTAAAACAATTAAAAAAAAAAAAAAAGATAAGAGACTCCAACAACAGTTCCAGTATAGATATAAGACATAGGAATGTCTATATATAAAACATACACACAGCTATCTATAGTAACATAAATACATTACCTAAATACATTGTTTTGTTTCACCGCTAAGTTACAAATTTGTAGCTTTATCCAGCAAAAGAAAGCAAAAAGGCAAGCCCTGAGCTCAGGTGCCTGGCTTGAGCAACGTGCTGACACATTTTTAACTTATCAATGTGCACAGGCCCTGGTTTCTATCATTCTGCTCATTGCAGACCAGGGTTTCTGGGAGACCGGAGCATGTCGACCTCCGACCTAAACACATCCCTCAGCGTTGGCTTCCACTCGTCACTACCGCGTTCCCACATCGTGGGGCCCAAGGCAGACAGACGTAGATCCCTGCGTCACGACTCATGCGTGCGAGTGGTGATAAAAACCAGGTCCTTGTCAATCACAGAAACGCGTACCTGCACGTCGTGAAGCCGATGCCGCGTTCCATTTATGGGATTTCTAGAGGATGTGCTCTCCTAAGCAGGGCAGGCTTGGTGCAGAGCTCCTCTACCCCAGTGAGCATTAAAGTCCAACTAATGCCTGCAAAGCTAGCAGAAAAGGAGCGGCTCAAATTGTAGCCTCCCACCAACCGCTCTATGTGAAATTCTTCAAGACCAGCAAATGCCATAGCCCTAATCACCGCTCTGCGGAGGAAAAGGAAAGCCTATAAAAATCTCTGGACCAGCTGACCCACCATGAGACACTCGGATGCTATTGCAGGGACGCCTCACACGGCTAAAGAAATAGCTCTCAGTTCACAGCCGGCTGCAGACAGACTTGCTTGTGAACAACCCGGCACCACGCGCCAAGGTGAAGATCCTAAGAGGCCTAGGCAAGCGGGAAGGGAGGATACATGGGCCCAGATGGTGCACATCTGGCCAAAAATGAGAAAGAGAAAGAAATCAACTTATCAAATCCGCAGGCAGGTGTTAGGGGCGTCCCAGGAGGCCTGCTTCTGCAAGGCAACCAGGATGGTTCCGAACTGGTTAGTTAAGAAGCAACTAAGATTCCCAAGAAAGGAGAAAGAATCGGCGGAGGTCAGCGGGAGCCGAACAGGTGGCCGGAATCTGAGCGGCTTCAACCTCCTGTGGATAATGGCATCATTTCGAAGACATTTAAATTATTTAGGTTATTGTAACCAAGACGTCTTTAATAATGCACCAAACAGCAGGCACCAGGTAGAAATCAATTAGACTCCACTGCTAAATTATAAGAGAGGAATTTACAGCAGAATGGCTCTAGGGTAGGAACCTGAAGAACACACGCATGCCACAGACAATTATACGAGGAGCTAAACGGTATCGCCGGGTCGTTTACACGGCAGAAAAATGGCCAGGTGCTCCTAAATACGGGACAGTGCTTTGCTTTGCTTTTCTTCTCTTTCTCTTTTTCTTTTTTTGTTTTTTTGTTTTTTGTTTTTGGAGATGGTCTCGCTCTTAGTTCAGACTGGCCTCGAACTCACCACAATTCTCCTGCCTCAGCCTCCCAAATGTTGGGATTACAGGCTTGTGCAATCATGCCCATTGATTTTTTAAAAATTAAAACGTTAGATCCCATTCTCTGGGCAGACAGGCTTTTCTGGGTGGCCAAGAGTAAAGACACAAGTCTCATCTGAGTGGTTTTCTGTGCAAACAGAAGTCAGCAAGTAGGTCAGAAGCCTCTGAGAGGACGGGAGCTGGGACCCGGGCCGGGATACCTGGGCTCCGCGTGTGCCCTGAACGGGGTATCCCGTGCCTTCTTCCCAGGTTTGGGGACAACAGTGGTGTCCTAGAGGGACCGTCTCCGCAGCATCCAGAGGGTGACAGCCTCGCGGATCGGACTTGGAAGTTTCTCTTCTGCTCGGGTCCCGGCCCTGGGCCCACGTGCAGGGTCCCACCCCTGGCCGCGCGGGGGCGCAGTGCGCAGGCGCGCTGCGGCCGGGG